TATAGAGTCTAAAGCATTTGCTTGAAGGACCCATAATATGAAGATTCTATCGCTTTTTGTTTGAAGTGGTCGATTTTCTCAAAATAAGTGTGCAGTTCACTGTGCTCATTTCGCAAGTTCATATTCAAACGGCTATGGAAAATCAGAAAGTGCTGAGATTTTATTGAAATTTGGTCAGTTTAGAGTCTAGGGTCTTTACTTTAACTGCTAAAAATATGAAATCTCTAATAGGTCTAGTTTGATGGTGTCGATTTTCCGGCAAATCCGGCAAGACGGATCTGAAAAATCAGAAAGCGCAGAAATTTTAGTAAAATTTGGTGTTACTTAGCATTAACTTATCGTTCTGAAAATTTGAGGTCTTTTAGGTCTTTTACTTTCGCTTCAAAATGGGCAATTTTTCAAAAAAAAAAATTGTAAATGTCCCTTGCTTCGTAAGCTCATTCTCATATGGCTCAGAAAAATCAGAAAACGTTCGGTTCTTAGTGAAAATTCGTCAGTGTGGCGTCTAACGCTTTACGTGCTCAAAACATGAAAAGTCTAATCTGTTTGGTTTAACCGGAGGTATTTTCTAAATATTAGTAAGTGCTTATTTCGCATAAGTGCACAAGTTCATACTAAGATTGCTGCGAAAAATCAGAAGGTACTCAAATTTTAGTAAAAATTTGCCATTAAACATAGCAGCATTTGCTTACTTAAAGCCCCGAAATGTCTTTTACTTTCGATTTGAGCTGAGCGATTTCCTAAAAATTAGCGCCCAAGTGTCTACAGTGCTTATTGCGTAAGCTCATACTCAAATGGTTCTGAAAAATCAGAAAATGCTCGTATCGTAATTAAATTTGGTCAGTGTGGAGCTTAATGCATTTACCCGACGTGATCAAAATATAAACCGTCCATTCCGTTTGATTTAACTGGAGCGATTGTTTTAGAGTCAGTAAGTGCATACAGCGCTTATTTCGCAAGTTTATACTCAGATGGCCCTCCAAAATCAGCGAATGCTAAAATTTCAGTAAAATCTAGTCAGTATGGACTTAAATGTATTTACCTTACATGCTCAAAATATGAAACATCCGCTCCATTTGGTTTGAACTAGAGAATTTTCTAAAAATTAATATGTAAGCGACTACCGTCCTTAATTCGTATACACTCAGACGGTTCTGAAAAATCAGGAACTGCTCAGAATCGAGTGAAATTTGATCGGTGTTAAGTTTAGTGCCTTTGCTTAACATGTTTGAAATACAAAACGTTTATGAAATTAATTTTCTGCGCAAGGATTAACTACACTTATCTCGCAAGTTCAATGACTCGACATCGAAAAATAAATCTCAAACTCCCCGAATTATTATGTCAGTTTGGAGCTCAAACAAAATTTAACTCGCTGAAAATCTTTTAGTGAAGTGGTCGATTTTGAACAATAAACTTGTCAGGGTTTAAGAATGTGGTCATTCACAGCTCATTCTAAAGTTTGTATGAAAAACGAGAAAATGCTCAATCTTCAATCAAATTTGGTCAACGCGGAGCTAAATCTGGAGCTCACCCAAAATAAGAAATTTTACTACGTTAGGATTGACGATGGATATTTTCAGAAAACAAAGTGTTTATTTGACAAGTTCCTACAGTTCACAATAGCATAATTCCTGTGTCGTGCATTTACCTACTGCAATAGCTATGGTTTTAAAGTGAGGCCAATAAACTTGTCCATCACACATGCCGAACTATTTACTTAGTTTATTAACAATACACAAGTGCAAATATTTGAATGTGCATCAGGAAATCGAGCTAGACCGACTGTAATGTTTATCCAACACATCGTTGGTATGTGGTAATCGCATATTACAACAATTTCACAGTTTGGTCTTGGATATTGACTTTCTTACTCGATTAGTTGAAAACGGTTGTGCAACAACTCGACCGGTTATTCTTGATAGACCGAATCAAATAGTGGCAAAAACTGTGGTAAAAACCACAAAACTATTCAGACATTTTACACATTGAATGTGTTAATCCGAGACCAGAGGTCAGCAGCACAATCATCAACAGAAAACTATAAATAAATGCTGCATTGATTAAGCCAAGGCTGAGAACCCACCCAATTTAAGTAATTAACACGTTTTGTTTATATGCCTAAGCGGCTTTAATGCCGACATTAAAACGCAATTTAAGCGGGAATTTAAGTCGCTCATTGTAACTGACGCTACAATCTTCAGCTGTTATAACGGCCCAATCTACAAAACGAGTTCCAAATCTTCCACTAAGCCATTGTTAATTAGTTATCATCGAGGTTATTTAGAAATTAATTATGATGATAAAATTGCAATTGGGTGGATGGTAACAAATGAATTTAAACACTAAGATTATTGTTTGAGTAGTTAAAAAAACACATTGAAAGCGAATTCAGCCCACAGAATCCATCAAACACTTGGCAGGAAAAAACTGGAAGCAAAGTTTAAATAAAGAAAGGGTGATGTCTAATAAAATTCCCAATAAACTCTTATCTTTCTGGGTCACACTGGATTCATTGTTCAGGCATTGGAAAACCTCCCATGTAAATGCGTTTGTTTACAATTCACAAACACTTCTTATCAATGATTCATATGGTCTGATAACTAACCTATGTAGGTATATCAGGAATAAAATGTCTCGGTTTTTTGCCCGAATACTGAAATAAGTATGTACGCAGTAGCTTAATACCTCCCTTTCCGCTTGGATGTTTTTAATGCGAAATTGTTCGACACGGCATGCCTGAATTGATTTATTTTCATGGTAAATAAACCCACTTTACCGTAACTTTAGATCAGACCTTCCATCAATAAGCTACATTGCTTTTCTGTTAGGCAGGTTCACTTGAATAAGAAATTTAATATACTTACATAAGAGTAATACGAAAGCCAAATCCTCCCTAATTAGAGTTTTGAATATTTTCTAGTGGGGCTTAGTGCTTGAAGCCAACAATTTGCTCATCTTATAGACCATCCTTTTACTAACATCTTTTAATGGTACTTCTCGAAATGCAGTTTTCGATCACTTTTCACTCATTGAAATTCACTACTTTCCCAAAAAACGTCAAGAGACGTCATGACGTCCACGCTATCTGTCATACGCAGGACGTTAAAGTTCAAAAAATATTGCGAATTTGCCAAATCTATATTCTGCTCCGTTTTGAATTTTTTTCGTATGCATATTTTGCAGGAATTTGGGTTAATTTCTCTAATTTTTTTTTGTTTTGCTTAGTATTGGTTAACTACCTTTATTCAAATTTATAACCGCATATCTATCAGGTTCGCCAGCGAAACAGTATTAAAACATAATTTGAGAACTGTTTCAGAAACAATTCAGTCAAAAAATGTGCTAATTTTTTGCTGAACTTATTTATTCTCGACACAATAATAACAAAAGAATTTGGAAAAACTTTTGGTGTTTTATTTGTGTACTAAACTACAACTAAAATATCCTTAAAATATAAAAACCTAGATAAATTGATGAATTTTTAAATAATTATGTATGCCAAAGAATTCCTTTGCCAGAGTATATCAAAGTTCTACTGTCACTTAAACCTGATAAAATTTACGGCAAGCACTATTACGTTGCAAAATGTAATTTCATTAATCGCATTCGGATCAAAAATCATCAAATTTCTAGTCGTAGAATTAACAGTAAGAAAATGGTTAAAAACTTAAATATTACACTCTGTATATTCGATTTGCCTGTTCCATACTATATATTTGCTAGTTACGGTTTGCAGAGGCTCTGACAGAGTTGTCCACAAATGTCATATTTAGGTAAACACTTTCAAATCAACACTAATTAGAGACAGCCTGTTGATGATTCAACTAAGTAGGCAGGAGGAATCGAATGAAAAAAGCAAAACAATAAACTTAGTGTACAACTTTTAATAGAAATCATGGTTTTCATCATTTGTCATTTGACAGTTTGATTCGAACAAAGCGTAACTCTGCATAAATAAAATACTGCTAAGAAAATTTGACACCTGTCATCGTAATTGATGTTTCCTTGTCGCAATTTGTGACACCTGATAAGCCACTATTTGACATTTTTGTTACTCGAACAAGTGGAATTAGCAGAAAATGTGTGCTTTATATGAAAACTTAACTAAACTTCCAAAAAAACTAAAAAATAATTTATTATAATAAGTACCTACTTGATGACAATAAAATAATGAAGCAAATTCTTAGATAGATTATTTAAAACAATTTTCAGGAAAAATATATTTAGTTTACTAGTTCCAACCATCTAAAACTAAATAGGCAGAAACTTAAGCAACCAAACCAAGAGAACACAAATAAAAAAGCAAAACTTAACATTCACTGTATTGATGTCAAAGTGATGACAAACGACGTGTTTTGTTCATTAGACTTAGACAGATTGACTGAAAAAAAGTGTGATTTTACTGAAAATGTTTGTGGAGTGAATCAAGTGATGATTTATAATAATGATTAAAAAGGTGTGAAGGAAAAATGGCTGGGATATTTGGTTAGTAAACACTGTTAAAATTATTTGACACCTCTCTATATAATTAGTGTTTTATTTCCTCGATTTTACAATGGCGGCTTTGCAAAAAACACTAAGTAAAAGGAGATCCAGACCCGTCCAAAACTGACGCAATCTCGGTTTATTTCAAAAGCAAAGGGACGTTTGACAACACGAACAACTTTAATTGAAATTCTGACAGTTGATTAGTCAAACCTTTTGTCATTTTTGGAACTTCAACAAGTGAAAGTAGGTACAAATTAGTGTATTTTGTGCAGAAATTGAGTTTAAAAGGGTGAAATGTGTGGTTTCCACTGAAATAATCGTGGTGAGTACGCCAAAACAGCAATTAGGTTCTTAGGTACCCATACCTACATGAAAACATGGGGTTATTATGGCGAGGATTTAAGTGTAGGAAATCCGAAAAAACCTGTTTTCTATCCCCATTTGCGTTTAGACAATCGTCTACTAACGATATATGAAAGTTAAATTTACAAGCACATTATTATACGCACCGTTTGCAATAAATCAACGTCGAAACGTTGCAGAAAATGAATCCAATAGATTGGCACTAGTCACACTTCACTGTTAAACACTATCAGCAGTTGTTTGAATCAACAATATCTTTGGCTTACACTAAAGTCACTCATCTACACAATCCTCAGCAGCCGGCAAAGTGACTGAAACGTAACCAAACAGCAGAAATGGGCCAAAAATTCAACACGCCAAGCTATAGTTACTCGAAAAACACTCGCACATAGTAAACGAAATCCGAAACCAACCACAACAATGGACAGAATCAAATTTGTTCAGTTTTTTAATTAGTTCAGGGCTGGAAATTTTCGATTGTTCAGCTAAACATGTTTGAACCGGCGTGATGGAAAAACGGAATAACGTTGAAACACACTACACACGAACGACAAATACGAACTGAGCGTTGTTTGAATGTACCGCTACGATGTACACGAGATCGGAGGCCCTGAACGCGATCGGCTGTGCGCCGTACAGTTCGAATTGAGCTACGACGTGCCTTGAAATGGAGTTTTTTTGTATTTTTGAGCAGTTTCAAATTCAAGGGTCAATTGTCCACATTTCATAACGCGGGTATTGTACAATTAGCCGATGATGAATCCGTTACATGCAAAAAATTGCACTGTTTGATTGCCACACTATTTTCCCTATGAAAAGTTACATACGCACTTTAACGTTTTTTATGTAAGTTACATATGCAAGGATCATTCAAAGTGCTTCGTTTGTGTACACACATTTTATTAAGTGTTTTAGTCGGCTCTAATCGACTGTCCTCTTTTTCCTTTCCTTCTTCCTCCAGCCTGTGGCAGTCCACTTTCTTTTAAATGTCGTCCAACCATCGGTTTTGGGGTCTTGCGACACTTTTTTTTTGTTACCCCAGTCGCCACTGGAATATTTTTTATAATTTGTGGATTTGGTTGGCTCCATATCTTCGACTTTTCTAAACTCATTTTAAGGCCTAGTTGATTGGTTCAGTAACGTTTGCACTTATAAGGACTATGTCGTCTGCGAATATCACGTGATTACATAGCAACCGCCCTATTTTCTTTAAAAAGCCTTAAGATCTTGGTTGATTTTCAATTGAAGAAAAAATAATATAATTCTCGTTAAACAACGGTTTTCTGGTAAGAAAAGTGTATAGAATGGTAGATGCATACTTTCTTCACCTAGTAGTTGACACGAAGTTCCTTTGAAAGATCAAGAGAAATTTGCACGAAACATTTAAATGGGTTTAATTGCATGGTATTAGTGCTTGTTTCTAGCAAATTCTGCACGGTCTTAATCGTTGCTTCTGAGTCAATTGGGCCCAATTCGTCTTTCCCAACAAATCAATTGCTGTGTAAGTTTGTAATAAATAACAGCGGGAATTTCGGATGTTTCTCATGTAGAAGATCTATTTAGAGTCCACAGAAAAAGGTTAAAGTATCCTACTCGTATAAGTATGTCCGACATAATATACGTTTTAACGTGTGACGAGCAAAATTAAAAATCTAACCACAAATCCGCTGTAACGCTGCTGTGATTTTTAATTTACAACGTATAATTTTTTTGAAATACAGATTTGATTTTTTATTTATAACTTATATTTTTAACTATAATATTCAAATTCATTGACCATCGAACTAGTTTTGAATCACCCTGTAAGAAGGTGAAACCGGACGATAAAGAAATTATACAGCTTTTCTTCCAAAATTATTCAAAGTATGCACAAATTAACAAACAATTTTTTTCCCATATGTAATACATGTTGTTCTCGTTTTCAACGTGTAAAGGCATATTTTACGATAACATACGGAATTTTCGTGGAACTGGAATTAGAGGAATCGACAAATTTGATTTAACGCTTTGCCTTTTTATTCGCTTCTTTCAGGTGTTTCTATTTTTTTCTCTTTGGCCGTCTTTTGTGTAACTTTCATACATTTTGACTGCTGTTATGCGGTTACAAGCTCCCGTTTTGTATTGTTTCTCAAATTGTTGTTGATCCAGATCTTAATGTAAATAAAAAAAATTAAAAGTATATCTTTTCGATTCTTTGGATGTAAAGCTGAAACCACATAAATTTTTATTTATTAGAAATTATTAGATTTAGAATATTAGATTTAGTAGAAATTGTAAATCTAATTTTGAAAAATTTTGGAGGTAAACTGACGAATGTGGTTTTTCCTTGTTATCTTTTCTTAACCATATTCACAATTTATACTGATTCCTGAACTGAAAACTTTTCTTCTAGCGGATTTGATTCCTTTCGTAATTCGTTCACTTAGCGTCAGATCCAACTTCAATTATTTAGATTATTATTTTTGGTTCGTTAATGAAATTATTGAGCCTCGCCTTCTTGTAATGAAACTTCATTCATCTGAACTTACTAGAATTACGTAATTTTGAGAAGATCTTGCAAATTTAAGTCACGCCTTCGTGGTATCATCCAAGTGGATAGATTCGTCACACTTTGCAGTTGCAAAGTTTTAAGTTTTAAAAAATGTTGCGTTATAGGCGACACTTTTCAGAAACAAGAAAAATTATGCTTTTTATGTGCTTGTAAAGGTGAGAGTGTTTGGTGACCTTAAATATAAAATTACCACGAAGCACAACTTTCCAGTTTTTCCAAACTTAGTAGAGCTGAGAAATGGAAAAAATGCCGTTTTTGGGACAATTTTTGGGGCTATTTCTTAGCAGCACAGCTGAGAACCATTGGCCCAAATAAAAAATCACTCATCGGTTTACGCTAATAGCGTTAGTGAATCCAATCGAAACCAGTCAAAAAAGTATTCAACTTCTTGTTCCTGCAAATTTCAACGTATCACTAATGAATGAATGAATGAAAATCGTCAATTTTTCTTTTAACGTAAGTCGATGCCCGATCGGGAAAGCGACCGCCCAGTCACGTGACATTTAGCGTCGCGACGCCCTTACGCCTTGAAGAATCGGTGATTTTTCGGTTGCTGAACTAGGAAACCGATGTATGAAGAGCAAACGGATATGGAAATTGCCGTCTCTGAGCCACAAAGGACAACGATTTTCGTTGTGTAGTAAAAACAGACAGTAGAAATAAGTGAAATTTTCATAGTGTCAAGCGACAATGCATAAGAAGGTCCGAATACAACCCTGTATCGTATAAAGGGCTGAAGAAGGGAGCGAGAAATTGGCAATAAAACCAGCGCAAAGAATTGAGTAATGAAGATGAAAGCGGAACTTTTATATAACGCTTTTTTACTCTTAAACTGCATTGAAAAAAGCCTAGACAATTCATATCTTAAAAACTAGGACGGAGGTTGTAAGAAAAGTAGTTTGCGTTATGCAGGGTAAAGAAAATTGATACTTTTTGATCAGCCGCCTAAGGCTTTTTTCCTTAAAGAGTGATTCACAATCGTACGGACACAGAGCAGGGGCGTGTAGAGGACCTCAAAACAAGTCGAGTTTCCATTTGAGTTTTTTTCTCAGGCCCATGTTTAACGAGATACAGGGTGTTAAAGTTTCAAAAAAAATTTGGTATTTTCTCTTTAGCTCCTACAGTTTATGAAATATTTTGCTCAAATTTTTAACGTAGGCTGATGTTTAGACCCTTTACTAATAGGAAAGGCGACTGGTTGTGAAAATCTACTGGGTGTTTCTTTTTATAGAGGCACACCCCTTTTATACCCCCGAAATTTTGTGGTGCGCCACTGATTTCGACAGTACGAATTTTTGAATTTGTTGTTCAATTTAAGAATGTTCTGATCTCTTGCATTTTTTTGTATCTCTAATAATGAATGCAGGGGAGTCACAATTAGTACTTTCAGAATGTGATAAGGAATTATGGGAATTAAGTGGACACAAAAGTGATGAAGTAAAGATGAATGATATGTAAAAATCTGCTGATTTTCGTATGTCAAACTAAAGCTAATTTTAAAGAATTTGATAAATTTTGTTGCAAAAACAGAAAATTTAAATATTGGTGAACATCGTACAAAAATGCGACTGAAATTACTCACCTTTGCATCATTCTTCACAAATGGCGGATGCGCCACAACCTTATATAATCTGAGGCAATAAGTACCAAGCAATAAGGAATAAATATAGATTCGATCACAAAGTGTAAATTCTAAATTTAATTTTCATTCACAGATTTTTTTATTTGGTCAAATTTAGTGCAATGAGAATTAATATAAGAACGGCCGGTTTGTAAACCGGACTTGCGGAGTTACACAAGTCTGTTCCACACTCACTGCAATTGGTCTCTATGCTTCTGCTTATTAATTTGCTAGTGTTGATAATATAGTCACAACCGTCGTTCATTTTATGCTTCATCACGCATCTTCTTATAACAGTCGATCTTCCAGATATTGTGTCTGAAATAGGAAATAGAAAAGAAATATGCTTGTAATGAAATATTATATAATCAATGCATTTTTAAAGAATCATTACGATTGCTTCATCCGAACCTGTTTCGTGTAAAACCATGCATGCAAATTTTGGTTTGATGTTGCTTGCAACTTCTTTGCCCTCTTCACAATTGGTCTGCGCTACGTGGTGTTCATTGGAGTTGGAACCGCAAAATTTTGATTTGAATCCAGTACAGTTATAACACCTCAATGCCCATGCTAAAACGAGAAAAGCCCATGCTCAAAAAACTGACGAATATAAAGTTACAACGCAAAAATCGATTGAGATTCAATAGAAAAGTTGTTTTTGGAATATTCTGTGTTTTCAAATGCCTTGGTCAGATTTCAAATGTTTTTTGTGCTACAGCGCTCGTTTTCCTATCACTGGATAGAAGATTAAAAATTCTATTTGGCATGTGAAAGATCGGTTAAGGGATATAGACAGATTCGAGAGAAAATATTCAATATTTTCAAGAATCTCGCTCGCTTCTAGACCACTGGATGTAGTCCAATTAAATAGCACATTTACCAACGCAATGCCATTTGGGAAATATTGGTAGTTTTCACATAAAAAAGGAAAATTTCAATATAATTTTTGATTTACGCAGTTTTAAAATTTAGAAAGGAACATAATGACCTAAATATTGAAGTTTTTTCAGTTTCTTATTGAGCCTTTTAGCTTAATTATACATAGTAATGAAAAGCCATAAAATATCCATTTACCTGGTTTGAAAGTCGCACAGATTATCACTAACAAAACCCATAAACCGGTATTTTTCCAGAACATTTTGTCGCCTAAGCACCAATTGAATCAACTGTTCACTAAGAGAACGAGAGTAACTAATGACCGACAATAACATCTAAACGATGCTTATTGTTTATGTAGCATCAGCGCACTTACAATGTTAGGAGCTTTGAGAGAGAGCTTAAATCAAAGTCGGATTCGCTTTGTTTTCATGCGAAGTTTCCGGTTTAATATATGCCCTAAATGTTCCTGCGACCGGTGTATGCAACGTTTTAACAAATGGGGATTCTGGATGATTTAAAGAAATTTTTGCGTGTAACATCTAGACAGACTGGAGGAATTGGTTTGGAACAACAATTTTAAAAGTGTGATAGCTATTGACAATTAATTCCTCTCTTCGAAGGAGAGTGGAAAAATTGAATAAATTTCGGTCAATATCGTTAGTCCTATGTGGAATTAGAATTCCGCACAGACTTTTCTCCTGTTCATATAATGCGGTTGATAATGGGGTTTGCAAGCAATAATCGTAAATTTATTTGACACTGGCACAATGGTCTTTATTAAAATGGGAGTCATCCGAGTTGACCCTTGGGCTTTTCATGCATAGTTAAGGGCACGTGACTTCGGAGAAATATCTGTTTGTTCGATTGGGGGGACGAGAACAATTATATGATTCTCCACATTTTATTGCTGTTTACTTTGTGTTCGCGATGTCTTTCGGGACCCAACTGGGGGATTTTCAGTCCATTTGGGTTGGTCAGAGAATCTATTTTGGACCTCCAGTTCCAAATTGGAACTAGTTTGGAACGGATGGATAAATTGCATCAAATTATTTTTGAAATTCAATTTGCTTCTTTAATTAAGTGCTTGGATCAAGCCAGAATGGAAATCGAATCTGAAGCGTAAAAATTAATGTGCAAAAGAATTGAATTATCAGTTATAGAAGCTTTTATTCAGATGAAATATTTTGAAATTTCGTTGAAACCTGATCCACTTCCACTTATTATCACGCAATAATTCCCGACCAATTCCTGGTCCATAAATAAATAACAGAAACAAACGGAAAACAGGTATCGGTGAGTAGTTTAACCGCAGTGGAAAATCGGACGCAGCAGTAATGCAGACAACCGGGGCCCCATTGATTGTTTTTAATAATTAAAATGTCATCAACAAATGCGTTTCGAAAGGATTGCGTGTAAAATCGCATGCATCCACTGTCGATACACTGACTGATAAGCGCAAAAAGTTGTGTCGGTTCCACTAAATTTGTGTTGGCGAACAGCCAAAAAAATAAAGGAAATTGACTGAAAAAAAGATAAATGATATTGTCATGTGCTGATTTTTTTTCGACCGCAAAACAGGTATTGAGTAATTGCTTTTTGGGGGGCTTTTGCGGCTTTCAACGACCATAGGTGGGTTTGACGCGTTAAGGAGGGCGGTGTTGATCATTGAATTGGAAGCTCGGGGTTGATTTTGGGATGATAAAGTAATTTTTATCTGGAGCGCTTTTGGAGCTTGGAATGATTAAACATCACACAGTAAAATTGAGTTAACGTTACCTTGTTTTACGCAGATAAATTTCAGTGTGCGTGTTTACATTTTCGTCAGTGTGTTAACTTAATGTTAAATGCATAAGAGATTAGTTCTATTTGTCACCATATATTTTCTTTGGAATTTCAGTGTTAATTACTTGCTGGGGACAGAGTGGATTTTCAAATACTTTAGGAGTTTTTACTTAAGATGGGCAAACAATAATATTCTCATGTTAAGAGCCACTTTACCCAAGAAAATCTACGATTAGGCATTTAAAAATTTTTTCAAAAACCATTTAGACCAAAAATTCGACTTGATCTAGGCTAGATTTATATAAAGCCGAAAGTGTAATTCTATAATTTCGCTTAAAATTCAAATCGTGTTAAACCGCAGGCGACGCGAGCAAATTATGTACACCTTTTAGAGTAGATTTTCATGTAGAGAGTTTCATAAAAAGTGTTATTGCAAAATGTAAAATAATTTACGTAAATGTTTTCCATACATTCATTTGCAAGTGGCTTCGATATTTGCCAAAGCGATGAGTGCCAGTGAGAATTTATTAAAATAATAAATATGATAAAAGSCAGKTTGTTTGTTTTCTATTGATTGGTTTTCCGCAGAGTTGAAAAAATGTGAGAATATGATTATCTTTAACAAACAAACGGGAAAATAATGACAATGGCATGGATTATTTCAAAATTATTCTTCAGTTTATATCGATATTATAATGCTTATATTTTTTCTGCTCTTTATGGATTTTTCGGGCAAAAGTAAAAATTGTTTGCATCGTAAGAAGCTCCCCAATATGCATACTTATACTAAATTTTAAATTTCACATGCGTGACAAATTTGTGTTTGTAATAAGGCAGATATCGTCGGTTGAAAGTCGAGACCGCTCAAAAACTGTTCAAAATAGGGCATAAAGTCAATGATTTCGGATCTAAAGCTTCTAGTGTGTTGGTCAAAAAGCTCGTTTYATTCCTCACTTTTTTTTGTAGAAAATTGAGCATAATTCGGGGYACTTTGAGAGATTTTATATTTTTTKAAAAAATCTACCTCTACCCGTTATAAAATTYTCAGTCAAAATTCGAAATTTCACATGYTTGTTTTTTGGTCTCAATGGATTGTTTGCGACMTAAGAACTTTCCTTATATGCATATGCAAGGAATTTGTGTTTGTAATAAGGCAGATATCGTCGGTTGAGTTTCGKGACCGCTCAAAAACTGCTCAAAATAGGTCAAMACTGGCAATTAATTCARTTCWAGCAATTCAGTTGCTTCTAGAATATTTTTCAATTAGCGCGTTGCACTTTTCGCTTCCTTTTGATGAAAATAATGCAGAATTAGCGGAATTTTGAGCGTTTCGAAATGTTTTGAGAAGGGCTACCTCTACCCCTTCTTGAATTTTGACTGAAATTTTCAGTCAAGGAAACACGAAAATCAGTTACCTGCGTTGCTTGCGCAATGGTTTTTGCAAAATGCATTAAAGCCTTCATTTGTGCGTTTATACATTTTTATCGACTTTCAAATGAATCTCTGCCGTTCAATTTCACCTTCAGTTTCATAAGAAACATCAACATATTGGATCGCATCAAATTCGTAAAAAGTAACTTTATTCTGAAACTTATTTTCTGTTTTAGATGCAAATTTTCTGATACATTAATTCCACAAATTCTCTCTCTGTTGCATACATTTTTTGTGGAGATCCAGACACCCAAATATTGTGTTTGAAAATTTTTCCTGCATTAATTCAATAAATTCGTTATCATAGCCCTTTCGTATTCCGTTTAAATAGAATGATTACGATTTTTTCCATACCAACACAGACTCGGACATTAGAAAATGTAACCGTAGGCAATGCAAAGGGCTGTTCGCTTTCCCACAAACACATTGGAACGAATTTGGGAATTAGAGCTGCACTGATTCACACTGACCAGCCTCCAGGCTAGCCTCCATTTGCTACTAATTTCGCCTGTTTGTGAGAGATCCAACCTTTTACACAATGGCTCTATGCCACAGGCGGACAAGGGCTAGTTTAGACCCTCAAAAAAATTAAAAAACTATAAAATGCGATGTAGGACTTGGATAAAGAATAGACCTATATAGAATAGACTATTATATATGCTATGCTATTATGCTTCCATTGGGAAGCTTTTTTAGAACGAAGAGTAGAATATTAGTTGCGAAATGTTTGCTATATTCCGGCGAACGCTTCTAGATTGTCTTTTTCATCATTTTTAAATCATTTATCACTAGACCAGTTCTTAATTGTTGCGAGTTTACGTCTGCTACCGATCTTATCGCGTTTACTTTGTTTCGCTGTACTAATTTGTGTGTCTCTGTGAGTAAAATTTGAAAGGAATTGGAGTAGTTCAGTGAAGATTAAGTCAATTAATTCAATGGTCGAAGGAAAGTACTTGAACTGAACCTTTGCAAATTGAGAGTATTAAGAAATAATTTTAAAGTAGACACTAAATTTTATTTTTAATATAGATACTTAAAAAAATATATACAATGAAGCTTGCCAGAAGCAAATGTCTACATTTCTAGTTTTTTTTTGGACAAGTCACCATAACTTTCCTCTCATAATTCTTAAGTAACCACCAAATGTAAATGGTAAGTAAATGATCATGTAACAGGCGTAAGTTTTGCGGGTAAATATTAAAATCCCTTCATAATTACCGTGTATCGGCAGGTTGACTGTGTGAAACATAAGCTTATTGTGTCTAACACAACGAAACGAAATGATTGTAGAGGGAAATTCCGAGCGAGCAAACATCAGTTGAGTTTCTTTTTAATTAAATTGCCTGAGAGATGTACACAGTCGGATTCGAATTTTCCGCTTGTTTTAAGAACCCTTCATTTATCTCAATATTTATCCGGGAATAAGTCTGCGCTTTCAATGTCTTTAAACTACACCACGAACTCAAATTAGACATTTATTATTTAATTGTAAATATCTCGAGCATGAGAACGAGTGTATTCTACCAGGTATTTCCGGGGAACAGATGTAGAATGGCGAGATAAATCCACTTGTTTGAACTTTCAATTATATCGTTCAAACTTGCGATATCTTTGTCTACGTTTTACAAACCCTATTAAATTACTTTATTGCATTTCAACTTCATTGTCTTTGATGGAAGCATTTGCATCGCAATTACTATCTATCATTAGTATTTCTTTAATAAGCTCACTTAATGTTTGATTTGTTTTGTGTTTTGATTCGGCTAAATGCAGAGATACACAGCAGGCACAGCTTTTTTGCTTGCTGCTTGCACATTTATTTTATTTTTATTTAATTCGTAGTTATTTGTCTATGTTTATTTTTTGAGTACTTTTTCTTAATAACCCGCTTTTAAAACATTAAAATGGAACTACAGAACTGGAAACGAAAGGATGTTCTACAAAAGTATACACAAGTTTTTAACTTTTGCCAAAACAAGATAAAACTCATTTCATTTCACTAGCAGTATTTTCGTAACAGTATTCAGTAACAGAAATTTTATTTATTTGAAAAAAAAATGGTACGCCAGTGTGTTGCTCGCGAACATAACCAAAGAGGAAAGAAACAGAATTTTCGATTCATTAAATTTGGCGAATGTTAACTAAATGAATAAACACCCATTATACGCACGATATGTTTACCCGTCCTACCCATCCCGTATTTATTTACCTGTTTTTACTCCTGCTGGGGAGCAATAATTACATTACTGTTCGAATCATGGGAATTCAGGCAAATAAAGAACGAATTAATCATTTTGAATCAATATTTTTTAAGGCTGATTTACGCCTTATGCGCAGAAAACGACGTTTGCATAACTATCCGATAGATATACTCGAAAATTCATCAAAAATCTCATGTAGAAACGCGCTGGGAGTTTAAGAAATCAAAACTTGTAGCTTTGGGCCAATGAAAGCATTCGTTGTATAAGAAATGCACTAAACAAAACGACAGAGAATTGTTCCAACTCCATTCCAATTCCAACAAATGGGCTCAAATGTTCTAAACGAGTGCAACAAGGTAGAATTACACACGCATGCATTGGGAAAGGAAAGATGCCGTTGCTAAGGCAACATCGGTTCCCCAGCTGCTCTTTTTCTATAGCATGTTTTGGCCCAACTTCCTTGTTCCACTTGTGCAGCATTGAAAAAGTTCAGTTGCTTTGTAAATGCTTCGTAATTTGGTGCCGCAATAAATCAAAAACTTTGAAATAGTATTTGTTTGCTAACTGCTGCAAAGTTAATTGAAAATTCTGGTCCGCATTATGGTACACGAACAATCCTCCCAATGTGCTCTTTATATTATATTAATGCACCATTTCATGATATACCAATTTGTGCTTTTCTACATATCCGCGGATTTATTAGTTGGACTTTCCTGACAGAGTTCCATTAAAACAATTACGGGACGAAAGGAAAATCAACTCGACCGTCTGCTTTATCCCTCCATATCGGAATTATGTAAATATTGAAAATAATGCATGAATCATGTAATCTCGCTCGATTTCCCTCGGAATTATGCTCCCATTAATTACTGGCTCTATTATTATTTACTACCGCTGAGCATTTTAAAGCGATTCGAAACCGCTCTTCGATTGATTGATAATGGACCTAGAAATCAGCGATAATGTTGCGTGTTGTTTAGACGGTCTTTCGTCAGTAGTCAAACTGTGGTCGGGACGATTTATCAAAGTTATTGACAAATTTATATTTTAAAATATAATGAAATTTATAATAATTTTCATTTCTCAAACTGACTCAAAATTTTCAAAAATGCCTCAACCGTATAAGACCATTTTCTGGTTCATCGCCTTAGGAGCCAGTGTTTAGTAGGCGATTATTTTCCAATCTGGCAGCACTTTGGTTGCTAAAAGGCCACAAACTCGAAAAAATCAGATCTCCTAAACAATGGAAATATGTGACTAAGGATCGGTTATTTGAATAGAATGTTTCTATAAATATCCGCTGAACTGTTGCTCCACATTTACCTATCTGTTATCACACTAATATATTATTTTTTATTGAAATAAATTGGTGTAAATGAATCTCTAAAAAATCTATTTGAACTCTTCAAATCTGTACGTCCTAGAACTGCTGCTAGATATCCGCTGAACTGTTGGAAATATCTGTCTACTCGGAATGATCACGTTTTTTACAGCGGGCGAAAAACAATATTTTGGGGCAAATCAGTCAAATGGCCCCTTAAATTTCTTAATATTTTAAACCAATTGAGGTTCAAGCAAGGCTTAAGCTCTAAAAAGCTAAAAATTAATAAAGATATAGTACAGGGTGTCTAAAAATGGTCATGTTTTCTTAGTCAAAGTTTAAATATTTCTGTGGGCAACCGGAACGAGAAAAAATATACGATGTTATAGCTAGATGTCTTCTGAGTAATCTCTTGCATCTTTAATCGTCTGTTTACCTTGAACAATTCGAGATCTTTTTTTATGACATTTTCTGCGAGAAATTTACTCTATTTTATTAGTTGCCAAAATTCCTTTGATGTTTCATCAAAACACCGACAGACAATCGATTTTCTGTCGGTGTTTTGACGAAATATCAAAGAAATTTGCCGCGGATTAGACTCGGCTCGGGCTTGACTCGTTAACTTTAAACGCGGTATTTCAACTAGAAGGTTTTTCATGGATCTTTTACCAATATTAATCTAATTGAGCCATTGGCTTCATCTAACAGCAAATTTAATCGTCCAAAAATCAACTAAAAGCCCTTAGTTTTTTGGTCAAAACCTTCTTGAACGAAATCGCCCATTCAACCTAAAATACCGTAAAACTCCTACTTTTCTATTTACTTCTCTCAGAAGGGTAAATTTGCTGAACTCAATGCGCCACAAGAGCAACAACCATGCCATCTATTCCTTATTTCGGCCTGTAATAAAGTGCAGGCAACAGCTTTTAGAACTGCAAAAGTCCAGGCCAGTACTCGGTATTAAAAGCGCAATTGAGCCGATTAAATATTCAACAGCCGAAGCTCGGCTACATTTTTTTTTCATTTTTATTTCCAATTTGAGTCGCTCGCGTCGTAATAGTCCGGAACGTAAAGCCGTGCCGGTTCCATTTTTAAAACAAATTTGATGGATGGAGTGGAATATTAGCCACCCGTGGGACTTTGCGGTAATGTATACCTTGTTACAAAATACTGAAATGTTAATGGGGATCCATTAACTCTGAAAGCTCGCACCAAGCAAAGCCATGCTCAAAAACTGTTCGCCTGCAGTTTTTCGATTGACTCAAACAATTTCATAAATTAATTGGCCGCAAACTCTCGATGAATGTTCCTGTTTAGGACTGTTTAATTTGAAAACTGCCAACTTCTGGATGCATCCATACATACATACATATACATAATATGAACTTCGAAACTACTCTACAGCAGGGACTTAAATACTAGCGCTACTCCCATGGTTAGGAGGGAAGTTCCTAGATTAACTCCAGAGTTACACAGATTGGTATTGCAAGTGTGGCAACTGGAAATTGTGCCAGTTGATGCCCCAATAACTTTCTGGTTGACGAATTCGCATGCTGTTGAAATGGACTTTGTGGCCTTTGGCACGCAGCCCCTGTAGGTCTTCGTCTGGCTGCTTTCATCTACAATTTATCATCAAAGCTTCCCTCACTTGGACCTTTAGCCAGGAAAACTCACTGTAATTGACTTTCACGCAAACGAACTCCGTATATTCGTCAATTTCTCCTTTGTTGAAGATTTCCCAAAATATCCTCTTGATGTCGAAGACTCGGGCATTTGGGCCTTGTTCAGGTTCACTGGGCGTTTGAGAAGTCAGGGTTTCGATGTCGTCGTCTGAGTCCACTGAAGAAACTAACTAAGAAATAAAAATATTTAAACTTAAAATATTAGTCTTACGTCGGAATCTAGTTTCCTGGTTTATCAACCTGCTGGAGTACAATTTCGCGTTTTTGTAAAGATCTGAGCAACTGGTAACTGCTCCAAGTTGAGCATTGTAGGTGTCACCGCAAAAGTAGCTGTTGCAATGGTAACATTGCGAGACGCTTCCTGAAACTGAAACAGGAGTTGAAAATGAACAAAATCGTTGAAGAACAAAACAGCCATAGAAAAGTCTGCGACAAAATTATTGTAGTAGATTTACACAATCTGCAAATATAATTGAAGAAAAGCGGTCTGAAAATTACCGTTTGATTATGAGATGACAAAACCTGATGTATACATATTCCCGAAATCATAAAAAATTTAAACAGATTTAAAAATAAACAATATATTTTACTAAAAGTAACTCTTGGTTAACGGGACAAGCAAGAAAGCATTTGAATAAAACACAATTTAACACAATACTTGGTGTGTTTCTATACTACAAATTTTTGAATTCTGAGGTCACCTGGTTATAAGTAGATGTAAAATTTTATTTATTGTGTTTGAACTATTGATTTTCATATTTTATTTTTTGAACGTAATCTTGTCGTGTCGTTTGATATCATATCGTTTGAGTAAACATGTCGATTTAGGTTCCGTGCCACAGCGGAAGTTAAAGAAAGCTGAATAGTTAAGGTTTTAAAAATATTTAGTGTAGAAATTAATTTGAATTTTACGTGGTTGTGGGGCAGTTTTAGACCGAGCTTGCGGCAAAATGCATTTTCTTCTCCAGCACAAAAATATTGAAGAAATAGTTACGAGGACAATTCAAGTTAAAGACTATGCAATTAATATAAATAAATTAAACCAATAAAATTAATGGCAAACGTTAATTAAATAGAAAGTTCATTAAAAGTAACTGCATGAAATTTGCTTAAAGTTAAAAAAAAAATATTTTATTTCTTTTGGTGTCCAAATTAATCTAAGCTGTTTCGTATTTAACCCAATTTTTTCGATCAACTCTTTGGCTCTAAGCACGGAACTACCATTTTTCAAAAGGTGGACTTAAAGCTCAAGAGTTCTACGAATAACTACAAATAAAATGTGCTATTTTTATGGCTATTTAAATTGTAAATTTTCTGTCTCCTATTAGCTAGTTAGGCATTTTTTTTGATCGTCTGAGTAATTTATTCTAGCGTCCAGCGCCTGTCCAAAAGTTTACCGAATAAAAAGATCAATCTCGTTCCGCATTCGCAAATCCCCAACCCAAATATTGCCATTAAAATCTCATCCGTTTCGTCCAACATTTTTATTAGTATTTTCCAAACTAATGCGAAAGTTTCATTTGTGTTTTGCGTTTGCGAGTGTGTTTTACATCCGGGGCTAACTATTAAAACTTTCCCATTGGGAAATCCATTAATTTCGAACTTAAGCCCTGAATCGCCTTCAAGTGTCTAGTTTTCATTTGCAGGAAATTTAATATTTGAAGCTTTTCATGCTATTGTTTTGCATTAAATGTTATACATTCAGTTATTTTTAACAAAAGTATTTTCGTTTCCAACCGAAAAGGAAAATGTGTGCGAACGAATAATACATACCAAGGCCCAGCAGCGCAGTAAAAGCCACAAAACACGTTACAATTTTCAGCATTTTGATTCACAAGAGGAAAACTAGTCAATAATCGTTTCAAAGCAAGTCTGTGCAAGAAACAATAAAATTAATGTCGTGGGTTCAATATATTAACAACATTATCTTCAGTAAACAATGCCTAAAAATGTATTTTTTTAGTCGCACCCAGGCTTAGTTTGGGTAAGTTGAGAAACCCATAATAGTTATTGTTTTTTTTAATATACAGTGGGTTTTTCAATAGGCTATACTTTGCGAAACAATTTTTCAAGAATTCATGCTGATGTTCCGGTTGTTGTACTTGTACTTGTATCAATGAAGCATGTTTTATATAAAGTTTGAACTAAGTTTATCAACTGAAACACAGCAAAATTGAAATTGTCCTTTTTATGGCATTCTTAATGAATTATATTTGCAAATAGATACGCCCAATATGCGCCCATCAAAGTCAATGTAATTAAATGGGTTTAAATGATGATAAAAACAGCGTAAAATAGATGGTTTGGAAATATTTGCTAAATTACTACGGCTAATGGAGCGGTTTCACCTTCCAAAAAGTTCTATTTCAAACAGTTAACCGATTGCAATATGGGAAAACACGCACGTATTTAGTGGGATTTGAAAATGAGTCGGCGGAAATCTTTTATTAATGGATTAATTTTCCATGATAATAGTTTTACCTAAAATAATGGAAATCCACTTAGTTGTAGCAAAAAATTAGTTAAAAAAGTTAAATTATTAGTGTGTGTAATTAAATTCGCATTTTGTGAATATTTTAAAGCCAATCAGGATCAAAATACTATTTAATTTAAAGGAAAACATTAATATGCACTATCTATCAGAAAAAAATATTCGTTTTTCCGGTCAGTAAAACTGATATGATCAACGTTGATCTTGATTAAAAACATTAATTTTGCGCAAGCATTTCCTTACTGAATTTTTACTAATATCTTGACAAACAGCCTAAGAAATATGGAATACTAAAGGAAATAAAATGAGTGACCATCGTCCGCCCTGCTTAGTCTCTAGAATATTTGAAATACTACAGTGGGCATATTAAAGGACATTTCCGACAGCTATATGAGGACTATTACAGGGTAATATTTGAGCTAGGGTGAAAATGCTAAT